TTTACAGATGAGCAAACAGGCTCAAATTGTTGAAGAAACAAACTCAAATCATATACACCTAGTACACAGGTCAGGATCTGACCTACATGTGACCCACTTGCTTCTCATAAACCCAGACTTTCCTATTAGAGAGCAAGAACAGGAGGTTTCCGGAGTTTAGGTCACATTCTATTTTTTGACTAGGGTAATGGTTACATAGACGTGTGCTTTATAATTATTTGTTAACTTGTGCATGTTTTATGTATTTGTCTGTGTCATATGCCATAATTTGTAAAAAGTGACAGAAGAGAAAAAGATGAAGAATTCAGAGTCATCATACAAGGCGGGCAAAGCAGATGTTCATCCCGAGTCTGTCTGAGGTGGTGAGCAGACACATTGTTCACTGAGAGAGACAGACAGACAGAGAGAGAGGACAGAGACAGAGAGAGAGAGAGAGAGAGAGCGAGCGAGCGCTCAGGCAACACCCACGAGGCCACACCTACAAAGGCATCGCCCATCCGTCCCTTGAGAAGCGCCACAGGACCCCCAAGAGGAGAATCTGTGGCCAAAACAGAGGGCATCTGGGCCGTCCCAGGGACCGGTGTGCCCCAGGCAGACAGATAGGACAGCACAGCTCCTCATCAACTCCAGAGAGAACCCTCAGCCTTTCCCAGTTCAGACTGATTTGTCTAAGTCAAGAGAACCAGGAGGCTTCCAGACAATGAAGGGCAGACACAGTGACTCTTGGATCAAGTCTGTGTGCCAGGAACTGTCAGAGAAAACGTGTCCGCAATTTAGGAAAGGCAGACCATACTTTAGTGTTAAATAGGTTGGTCTGTAGACACACACACACACAAACTACTGTTTTTAACGACTTTGTACACAGTCATTTCTTCCCATTGTAAATCCTTGGCTCCTATCTCTCCAGATACAGTAACCATAACCTTCTGACTGAATTCACACAGCCAGATTCAACATTCCCCCCTGTGCCCACACTTCTAATTCTGGAGCCCCGGGCAGGCTGACCTGCTAAAATGTTCTTCTTCAGGAAAGAGCTGTGACTGGGGCTCATTTCTGAGACAATAACAGATGCTCCGTGAACTAACTCAGGCGGAGTGTAACGGACACAGTAACCAAGTCGCCTGTTACATGTGCTGTGAGAAACTGTGTTTCTCTCTCTCCCAAGTTGGGCTTTTGGGGGATGGAGCCTTAAAAATAACATCTTTATTTCAGCCTTTAATATGCTCATAATTTTCAAATGAGGTCTACAGTTGTCAAGAAATAAAATCCAAACCTTTCATTGATCCTCAGCGCCCCCTCCCTGATTCCCCTTTTCCACTCATTGTGGCTCTTTAAATAAAGCTGAGAACTATCCAGATAAAAATTTAGTTGAAGGTTACTCATCATCACAGCTAACCGATGAAGTTATTGAAGGGTTAAAAGAACTATGGAGATGAAAAGGATAGAAGCCGTCTGGAAATTCAGTGAAAAGCTGAGTGAATTCCTTATGGACAACGGGAACTATCTTTGGAAATTCACTCTCCACAACCAGCCAGATGTCTGTTGAACCAAATACCAAAATACAATTTCTAAATCCAGGTACATGTTTGTATCATCGTTAGCAGTAAATTATTACCTAAATGTCTAGTAACAAAATAAATCAACAAAACCAAATCATTTGATCTAAGAGCACGGCCGCCAAATTCTATCAAATTCTCCAAATACAAAACAAACACCAAAGTCTCTGCTCTGTTAGACCAGAACAGAGTGAGACTGCACAGGGAAGACCCTGCTCCAGGCGCTCCACGCGCCGCTCTGCACACCGCAAAGCCCTCTCCTCTCCAGTGGGGATGGGGTGGGCTCTCCCAGCGCTTCTCCTTCCCCTGACTGGCCCTCACCCCGGGCCCTCCATCACACTGCTGGCCCTTGACCGCCGTCTCGACACAAGACAGCAAGCTCAACTCCAACTTTCCTCCATTCATTTAAAAACGCCTGGCACAGTACCAACTGGGGCTCAAATACTTATTAAATTGTGTCTACTATTTGCCTTTATGTACTAACTCAAACTTGGCTTTTTCATAAAAACATTTTTCAGTAAACCCGTGTCTTCCTCAATCACTCTACTGACCACTGAGCGTTTCTGCATGACTTTAAGAAGCAAATGTTTACCACACTTAGTTACTAACTTACTATTACTCACTGTATCATTTCCCTCCATATTTTATGATCCTCAAGAGGAGAGCTGAGCTCCCCATAAAAACCAACAGAACCGTTCATACTACGAGCATCTAATGATTATGAAAAAGCACCAACCTGTTTAACATTAAAGAACGGTATTCCTTCTTACAACTGTGGACAAGGTCACAGTAAAAGGAGGGGGAGGAGCAAAACAGATCACTCATTGTGAATAATTAGCTACTTTTCTATATTTTTAAGCAAAGAATGCTGAGGTCAAATTAAGTTAGACTGATGACCTTACATAACATGATCCCTTAACAGTGCCCTGTGTTCCAGGACTGGAGTTTTCTTTTTAGTCTTCACTGATAATGAGGCAGGAAACCCTCTGCCCCTGCCGTGTGTATCTCGGGCAGCTAACCCGTCTGTCGTGGGGCAGCGGGACGTGAAGTTCCAAACACGTGATTCAAAGCAAATAAATGGAGAACAGAAGAGCTCAGACGCTCTCTCATTGCATCTTCCTCAACCACTGTTCTTCAAGTTGTTACCTAAAATCTCTTTAGGAGTATCTAAACCCAGACAAAGTTGTGCTCCAAGAATTTTCCAAAGTTATTAATTTTATTAATAGTAAATCCCTTTGATGAACCAATTTAGGGCATTAAAACAATTACTAAAGCATTTACTTTTTCAAAATAAAATTCTAGTGCAGGCAAAACCATTGGTGATGATATATCCTGTGACCTGCTGAAAAGTGAGAAGAAAATAAATCAGAAAGATCTACATATAGATGTTCACTTTTCTAAAGGAAGAAAAGAGAAGCTCTGAGCTGGTACTTGCAAATACGTGAACGAGGGAGTGAAGCAGTTTCCTGGACAGTGATCAAAAAGAGCTGGGTCTGAATATTCAAACTCGCACACACCTTCCGGAACATTCTCTACAAGCCAGACCCTGCTCAGTGCCTCCGAGCTCGCAGAGAATGTTAACAATGGCCCTGCCTCAGGGTCTGTCCTGGGAACCATGCCATTTAATATCCTCATTAGTTACTCGGTGGAGGAAGGTGAGCTCTCGGTAGAGCAGCTCTTTGTCCAAGTTTACTGAAGATGAGCCTCTAGGGACTGAAGGGATCTGGGAGAAGTTTTGGTTGGATTTAGGTTCATCATGGGCAACAGAGGTCAAAGAACAACACCAAGGCCAGACCCAAGGGCCCACCTAACACGATTCTTCTCATCTAAGCTATAGTCACAAAACAGAGAGATCACTCAGGCTAAAGGGAAAAGGGGACCCAGGAGCGTCCTCATTTCTGGACAGGCCAAGGCTAAGATACAAGATGCTGTCAGACACACATGAGATCACCTGAGCGTTCTCAAGACTGAAGGACAACAGGGCTACCACCTAAGCTTCTGGTACAGTTCTGTCCAGAACACCAAATCCATCACAGTCTGTCGATAGCTTTCCTTCTTCCTCTAAGAAGAAATTATCTGCTTTCTTTAATTCCCACACAGCAACTTTTGGCACATCTCTTGACTATTTTTCATGGGGTGATTTGCATTATAGATATAAGTATAAATTCCTGAAGAGCTAAGACCCTGCCTTTGTGTTCTGCACTTCTGCCAGAATAACAGGTTTCCAACAAACGGCTGTAAAAGACAATACAGTGAGGTGGTTCTGAGCTGCGGCCTCAGACCATCCACGTCAAAGCCTGGTTCCACCACTCACTGACCCGGAGATCTCAGGCACATTTCTAGTCTCTGTGTCTCCATTTCATCATCTGCAAAACGACACAGCAATAGTAACAGGCAGGATTATCGTGGGGAGTAAATGAGATAACACGTGTGATGGGCTTAGCACTGCACTTGCCAGACAGACCAGTGTTAATCAACATTAGCCAGTGGTCACGGCAGTGGTAGTAACGGTACATCAGTGAATGAATTAACTGTCATTAATAAATGACCGAGAGACAAGAAAAACTATCTTAAAAATTAGAGGGGTCCTCATAACAGATTTCTTCCAGATTTCAGTCTCTCACAATTAGATAAGATACAGGACACCCAGTTAAATTAAATTTCAGATAAACAAGTACTTTTTTAGTAAAACTATGTCCCAAACATTGCATGGCCGGGGAGAGCCGGCAGAACAGCATCTGGCAGAATAAGAACACTGATTTGCTGCTTTAAGAAAAAGTCTCTGACCCTGAAGTCACTCCTTCGTCTTTTAAAGAACTTCCTTCTTGATCACTTTTAGGAAGCCCTCCTCGCACACGTTTACACTTCTTCACATTGACAATAAGTTGAAGTAAAACTGAGAATTTTACACTAGATATTCCATATTTCCTGCTGACGGGAGCGTCTCTGCCGTCTGCCCACAGACTCTCATGCACCGGAGCCCAGGTGGGCACTGTGCACGTTCTCATGAGCCAAACCACCCGCATCTGTCACACTCTACACGCAGGCCCCCTTTCCACCCAACCTGAACTAACTAGAACAAACCCTGGGAAAGTATTAGCTTTAACAAATTTGCTTTGAATACTTAACAATGGCTTAAAAAAGGCAGTGGCTAAATTCCCCATGTCAGCAGGGGTTTATTAGGATTAAATCAGTCCCAGTGGTTTAAACACGCTAAAGCAGGGGGCTCTGAGGAGAGAGTGGTGTATCTCAACAGACAGGTTTCCACAGAGACCAGAACATACTAGGCGTGTATTAGGACGTGAGCATTCACGGCATCTTCTAGGGAAACAGCATCCTATATATTCATTATGAGAAGGTGGTCTTTTACAAATAGCAATCACATTTGCCCTTCCAACTCTAACAGTCAGAAATCAAGGACAAGCCCGCCAGATGCAACCTTACCCCTCAGCACTGATTTGAGGTTGAGCTTGGCTTGGCGGTGCAGGTCCTCCACGCAGGGCGGCCTCGTGGTGGGAAGGAACACGTTCTCCTGCTGGTGCCAGGGGGCAGTGTAGTGGACCGTCCATCTGCTCTCCTCATCTAGGTTGGAAACCGCTGTAGAAAGAGAGAGGGAATAAACTCAGGTGTCAAATTAAGCTTTACTGGCTCCAAAGTGTTCATCAAGATGGGTTCTTGGTGCCCACCACCTCCGGGGAGAGGGCCCACAGGGGACACGGAGCAAGTTCTGAATGAGGTTTAATCTTAGACTCCAGGGGTCCTCCCCACAGGGGTTCTTCTCTACAGGAAAAGCTGAAACTGTCCATCATCCCCACAACATTTTGGTAGAATTGTTTGCTCACTCAATTGTTTCCAGCATTTTAGGCCCTCCCTGGACTCCAAGGTTAGAAAACGACTCACAACGTTGATAGAGACCTCTGATTCCTACTTCACTCCACCACGACAAACGCCTGTTATTCAGTTGTACAAGGTTGTTGCATTGGTAAACATTAGATTCTCAAGACAGAAACCAATTTCCTACTGAGAGGTTGAGACCAAAGCTTTCTCCTCTAAAGCACTATTTTAAACATCACTCTTATAAACTCAATTAAATTTTTTAAAAATTAAGCATAAACAATGTAATACACTTAAATGGCATATCTAATAGAAGTGGAAATCAATTTGTGTACAAGATTTTCTCTGTATTTCTTGCTTTCATGGAAGACTGTTATATTAAAAGGCTCAAAAAAAAAAAAAATTCAATGCAATTGACTTTCCCCAACACAGCCCAATTCAATTGAATTTTGCAAACACAAAAGAGATGAGAATGCCCGATGGTGTTAGATGGTCATGAGAGAACGCTAACTCTCTGCAGGAATTTTCCTTCATCCCGCATTTCATTCATTTATTTATTATTCTATTCCCTTTTTCCTGACCACACAACCTAAGGGACACCAGTGGAGCCCCTGGTGACAATGAAGCTGACACCACCAAACAAATTCATCAACAGCGTTTTAATACTTTCTCTAAATCTGCCACTGTGAGCCAGGGTGGGACAGATCAGAGAAGCGAAGAGAAAGACCCTGTGCTGAGGCATTCACGGCGGGGGGATAGGTCTGACACCACTCGAGGTGCGAGTCAGCGGCCAGTCTTACCCAACTCCGGCCTCGGTGGGGAGGGCGCCCTGGGCATACGCATTTCTACAACACAACAAGGCCCTGGAAATTAGACAGAAAGAAGGTTCCCAAAATAAACTGAACAGGCACGCATGCACTACTGAATCTGTCTATTTGAACACATTTAAAATTAACTCACCGTGCCCACAGCACAGCTATTAGAGCTGTTTATTATAAAGACCAAATGAACTAACATATGTAAAGTCCTAGCTCACGAGATAACTTAGGTAAAGCACGGCTGCGGCAGGGCAGTGGAATTGCTCTAAATTAAGCCCCCGACTTTACAACCGTTGCTGAGGAGAAACTCGGCCTTTCTCAGCGCCCTGGGAACTCGAGCCACAGGTTAGCTCTCACCCCACATACCATGTTTTCTACACTAAATCCTACAATCCTCACCTCCCAATAAATCACTTCTTAAATGATCCCACCTTCTCCATGAATTGCTATATGGGAAAATAAACACTGAGAACTAGATATCAAGTCAAACACAGAAATGTCCTGTGTGCTTGCTGCTCTCAATGTCTGACAAAAGCAGCACGTGAAGTAGGCACCTGGTGTCTCACGCAATCTTGACCAAGTGTCCTGCCTGGTGCATACGACCATCAGTCTCCACACAGGAAATCCCAAAGATCCGACTTTGCTCTTATTCACGGACCTGAGAATCTTGCACAGTGCGGAATTCACACACGTCCCTCAAAGGGCACCCGCAGGCAACCACAATGCTGTGTGCTGACCTCCATTTATTTGCAAGACTGAACGGCAATACTTCCTAGTTGGAAAACACTGAAAACTGAAACTCTTCCTATTCGCCAATTACAAATCAAATCCGAGTAATTTGGATTTGTGTTCACATCTGTGTAACCGCACCATCAGCCCCATTCACAGCTACCCACGGGCTCTAAGAGCAGTGTCACCCACTGTGTCTGACTCATGCCCTGGCAGATTTTCATCAGTCTGTCCACCGACAGCCCTGGAGCACGGGAGCTGCAGACCAAGAGCCAGAGTGCTGTCGTTCTCTCCCAAGCTCCTCTCACCAACGCTCCATCCACACTTGTCCAGTTCAAATCACTGGTCCAGAAACTGAACTAGACCCAACCAACAACCACGAAAAACAAAACCACGTATTGTAAAAATTATGCTTTCCAGGGAATGAAGAAGCACTGGGTCAGAGAAATTTAAACCACTGGTAAGCAGGCAATGAAGTCACACCACCAAAGCTGTGTTCTTTACAACGACGACCATCAGTCTAGACAGAGCTTGAAACCCGTAACAGAGAGCTCGGGGAGTTCAGAGGATCGTCTCCACCAAAAATACAGGATGGATCTCACAGAGGCTCCCCGCACATGGAGCCAAAGAATCAAAAACCATACATCGAGGTGGACATAAAGTAATTACAAGGCTTTTTTTCTTCTTCAAAGGGCTTCTTTTGAGAAGCACAAAAGAAGTGACCTCGCCTAAAATCCCAACCATAAATAAGATGTGCTAAGATCCCACGATCTGCCCTAAAGTTACAAAAGTCTAAGGTATTTGAACAACTGGTACAGAAAGAACTTGATCTTATTCTCGTTATGCTGTTTCACACACTAATCCCTGAAGTAGTACCTAAAACACACACACACACACACACACACACGAGCGGGGAGAAAAGAAACTACTTACTTTTCTTCTTAAAAAGTTTAATGAAAGACTTGATCTTTGCATTGATCAAGACCACCATCTCCAGGATGCCTACACAGGACTCAGAAATTTAAATCACACTAAGAGCTCACGCCAGCAGGCAGGTGGCAAGCTGCCCTCCACTCCAGATCTCACTTCTTCCTCCCATCTGGAATCCTTGACATCTGATGTAACTCTGGGGCTGGGCTTATTGTCAGGCAGTTACAAACCATTAACAGTCCTTGAACCTGAAAAGCTCCCACTGAAACCTAATCTTTAAGGCTGAGAGCCGCCAGTGACAAAGTGTGCAGAGAGAAAGAGAAAGCCAATCAGAGTTCCTATTTGCATGACAGCCACATCACCCTCTCTGCCTCGGTGCTCACGTATTCACTTTTCTCTCCGACAGATCAGAAGTTTCTCCTCTTTGGAGTTCACAAAAATAGCGCAGATTTTCCTCTACGGAAGTCAAGGTGAAGCAAATGTGTCCCCATTTTCACTGGGCCACTATGAACACCAGATCTTTTTTGTGGAGCCGACAAGTCTTAGAGCCAGTCCATGTTGATTCTCTGGCTCTCAGTTAATTCAGGCATTTGAACTGATTTAGGGGGAAAAAAGGGCCCAACTATTGTTTCTGGACCACGCCGCGAGGCTCTGCCTCCCACACCAAAGGAACGTTCACAAGCAGTAAAACATTACAGCACAATTTCCATGGAGCTGTAAATGTGACTTCGTTGCATTTTCGTGCATATTAGCATGCCCAGTCGTCTCACCCAGCTTTTTTTTCGCCAATCAACATTGTAATTGTTCCAAAGTAAAAACAAAAAGAACCAACTTCCCCACTCCAAAGGAGAAATTAGATGAAGTACCTTAACCGTTTTAATCTGTATTTTATTTATTTTTTTTTTAAAGATTTTATTTATTTTATTTTTTCCCCCCAAAGCCCCAGTGGATAGTTGTATGTCGTAGCTGTACATCTTTCTAGTTGCTGTATGCGGGACTCGGCCTCAGGATGAACGGAGAAGTGGTGCCTCGATGCGCACCCGGGATCCGAACCCGGGCCACCAGCATCGCAGCGCGCGCACTTAACCACCAAGCCACAGGGCCGGCCCTAATCTGTATTTTAAATTCAATTATCTTCTAAGTGTCTGGTTTAAAAACAATTCCATGAACGCCCTCCCTGACGGGGAGAAGAAGAGCAATTTCAGACAAACATTACTTGGGTTTCTCTCTAACTTGAATATGCTGTACTGAGTTCTAGTTCTTCTGTCCATTTGCAATTAACCTCAGAGAACAGAGAGGGAAGAATCAGAAATAACAGTAAATCAGGAGGCACCAGAGAAACATATTCTGGGGTAAAGGGACAGGAACAAAACGGAAAGGAAAGGTCATGAAGGGACGGAGGACAGGACACCCACCCTCTCCCGATTCCACTTCACGGCAAACGTCTGAAACACGTTAGACCACCTCTTATTTCACGGCTCTGGGCCAGACTTACAACTGAATGGAAAAACCTAATAATCCACTAATTCAAAACATTTAGTTTATAACAAAAGCTCTTACTCAAAGAATAAAATTCTATAAGGGGCTCCCTCTAGGGAAAGTTCTGGATGATTCCTCCTCAAATCTTATCCCCCCATAACCTTATTTTTTGAACAAAGCAAAGCAAACAACAAACTAAAACACATATATTATCACATCACCACAGATTTCCCGTGTGTGTTTTTTCATCCTATACATAGCTTTATTTAAAGTAATTACACGGCCAGATGGCAAACGAGAAGCGACGGAGACTAAGTTAAACCATAAAGCTGCCTTAATTAGTGAGCAAAGTTCCCCTTAAGAACAGATCTATGAGCAAGGGTGACCGGGCTCCGCTTCTCGAGCTGCCTCCCCCTCACAGCATCACGGACAGGAGGGGCGCTCTGGACGGAGCCTGTTCACAGCCCAGGCTCTGAGGTCCAACGGCACCACGCAGACTCACGACTGAAAACAGCGCACAGCTTTGCGCCGGCACAGCAGCGGCATCCGAATGCCAGTTCCTTCACAGAAGAGGTAAATACCAAGCACACGCTAAGCCCACTCACCTGGGACACGTCGGTGAGATGCTGCCCTCCTGGAGTTCAGGTTATTGGGTCATAAACCACAATCACAGGGTATATCAGACCGTGGTAAGAGCCACGGACGGAAGGAAGCAGAACAGGAGTGGGAGGCGGCCAGACTGCAGCATTAACAGGAGTCAGGGGAGGCCTCGTGGGTCACGGGAGGCCTCATGGGTCAGGGGAGGCCCCGTGGGACAGGGGAGGCCTCGTGGGACAGGGGAGGCCTCGTGGGTCAGGGGAGGCCTTGTGGGACAGGGAAGACCTCACGGAAAAGGGGAGACCTGAGTAAAAACTTGGTGAATCCCTCTGGCTCTCACTTAAGAGGGACCTACAACCACTGGTAGAGAGAATTTCCAATCCTAGGACCACTCAGAGAAGAGCTTCCCCTCTTAGGAAATGAGCTGCAGGAAGAGGCACACAGGCAGGAATTTCCTTTCTCCCTCGGTATCAAGGCTGATATGCAGTGGTCACAGTTGTGTGAAGATAACGCCACTGTCCGGGCACACAGCAGGCAGGTCTGCATCTTGGGACAGAGAGCAGGCTCCCTTCGCAGCGTGCCGGGCACTCCATCCTGTACGCGCTATTCCACACTGCCTCCTGACTCCGCAAGTCCAAGTCTTCAGGCAACAACCCAATAAATTACCGCATTTATTGTGATATGCATTGTGTTCTGAAAGAGCTTATTAATTATCAAGATTCCCCCAACACTTCCACCATCTCTTACTTTATATTGCACGCATAAGCATGAGAACAGGGAAGTGTCTTCATCTTACAATTTGCACTGCCTTAGGGTCATAGTTCATCGAAGAGCTATATTTTTATGGAAGATTTTTTAATTGCTCAATTTTTACATTCAACAGAAAATACATAAATGCACGGTCCTTCCTATTCCAACTTCAGCCATAACAACAGCAGCAGTTAAAAGGAAAAGTTCTACCACAGCGTATCCCAGACAATGAAAACTCGGTGGCTCAGCACGGGAGTGAAGAGCCAGCTCTGGAGCCATACCATCCAGGCCGCTCACTGGAGTGGCACCTCCACACCTCGGTTTTCTCATCCATGAAACGGAGGCACTAACAGTATTTCTATTACAAAGTTATTACGAGAAGTGAACGTTATCATTGGTAAAGTGCTCAGAGCAGTACCTGGAATGTGGTGAGTGCTAGGTGGATGAAGACAACCTTGAGGAAGAGGAAGCAGCCCTCGATGTCATGAAGGGCCACGCTGTCACAGAAGGGGCCCAGCCCCACAGCCGTCTCTCCTGGGCTCCGAGTTAAGGCCAGCTCCAGGAGTGGCTGCTCTAACCTACCACCTCCAGCTTCCACGTTATCCTTTCTACTGCCTCACATTCTACCTCTAACAGTTTTTAAAAAGTTCCCCGTGGTTGCCAGTGAACTTCTACCCAGTACCAATAGTCTCTCTCTCCTCTTCTACTATCTTTTTAATCATACACTGCTGACAACCCAGCCCACAGCTCCTCTCCATTAGCACCGCAGCGCGCTGTTCCCATCCTACATCTGACTGCTCCTCTCTGCCTTCTGACAAACCTGTAATCAGCTGCAAAGAGCTGGTCCTGCAACTTCTGTCCTATGCTATTTACCTATTTTCCCCCAGAAACCTTCATGATTTTGCTGGTGTAAGGGCGGAGTCAGCAAATTACGGCCCTTGGGCCAAATCCAGCTGGCCCCCTTTCAACAGTTGAAAAAAACTAAAATAAGAAGAATATTTTGTGACATGCGAAAATGACATGAAATTCAAACATGAGTGTCCAGTAGCAGAGCTGTAATGGAACAGCGCTACCCTCCTTGTTTACCTGTCATCCACACCGCTCCCGGGCTGCGCGCAACAGCAGTCAAGTAGCTGAGACCAAGACGGACGGCCCGCAACGCTGACCCCGGGCTTAAGCTGCTGCCTTAAACACCTGCTTAATCTCCCCTCTCATCCTTCGTTTGTCTGTCCTCCAGTTCCACACCGACAGCCTCCACTCAAATTTCACATTCTCTCAAGCGGAGTGTCTAATATGAGCGAATCTGCTTTCCCCCAAACCCTAGCTGCTTATCAAGAACCTCCACATTTCTATTAGGGCCAAAGTCAATTTTTCAATGAACCAGACAGGTAAACAATGTCCAGTTAAAAACGAGAAAACTGAGATCTAGACGCTAATGCATGTCTCAGAGCCAAGGTGAGAATCCGGGCATCCTGAACCCTCTTTCACGAGCACAGAAGAGTTTTGAAAAGATTTCTTTAGTTAGCACATTCAAGTTAATACATCTTAAACAAAAGTCCTTATTAGGACACATAATAAAATATTTAAGAATAATTCATTGTTCTCTAAAAATACTGTCAAACGTTACAAAGAAAAATACGCTCTGACATCACTTGAATGATCCCAGAGGCTTATCCTGGTCCAGTATCTTGAAATTCTGTTACCACTACTATCATATAAATATTTGCATCCTTATTCATAAAGTTCCTGCTTAATCTTTTACTGAACTGAATCTTCTTTCTAACCAACATTTAAAATTTTTCTTCTAGGAATCATCCGATTATGTCTACAGTTATCGGATTAGTTCCCAGGAAAACGTATACAACATACCAGCAAAGAGATGCAAGAATATTGTGAAAGTCACACACATTCTAAAAATTTTAACTGTTACTATGCACTGTTGTTCAACCACGCAGCCGTTCCACATCGAGCCCTTGGCTGCCTCGTGTTAGGCATCAGGGTTAAAAGTCAATCAAACCTGGTCCCTGACCTTCGGAAGGTCACAGTCCAGTGGGGACGACACACCCAAGCAGATAAAAACAATAAAACCATGAGTAAGTGCAGGGAGGAAGGTAAGACATGACGTTAACAGGAAGGAGGACAAAGGGCCCGACCTCACTCAGAAGCAATCGGACGTGAGAGCACAGAGGAGGGGCCTCAGGGGAGGCCAGCAGGGACACACAACGCTTCCGTGTCAGCTTGTGGGGGCGCTGTGGGGAAGGTGGCAAAGGAGGTGGAGAGAGAGGCAGACCCTGAGGGGCGTGCTTTCGGCAGGGGTGGATTTTAG